ATCTCAAATCACAGTATTTCTTTTTCTTACATAATCCTGTTTTGTACTTTGTAATGTTAATTTGGAAGTTTTACTTGTCATTTAAAACTGCTAACAATTTTAATAGGAGTTTGCAGTAGTGTTACTTGCATATTGTATAAATGCCAATATTATTGCCATAAATATGTTCATTATTCATTTATGACACATGGTGTCGGTCATGTGCATACACTAAAAAAACAATATGTTAAAAAGATAAAGGTTTAATTGAAAATTATATAAACATATTTATGGAATCTGTACCATGCAATATATTCTGCATATTACTGCTTATTAATATGATTAGTATTAAACTGGTTAACTAAATGATTATGTATTAACAGGTTAATATTCTTACACTAGCAACATTATAAATCAGAATTTAATTCACCTTCTTCAAATAGGCATCCTTTCTTTGACACTGGCAGGATTTAAATTATAGCTCATGATTAAAATATCTTGCATGCCTTTCTACACCAGATTATCAGCATGATTACCTTTAATTTTAAATAAAATGTTATTTGAAATTATCAGCATGATAACCTTAATAACTCTATTTTAAATTAGAGAATTGCTATTCACAATAAAGGAGTTAATGTGCACAATGATCAACTTGCAGTTATAATATTTGATAATACAGCATTGGTATTTAATTAGTTTTCCTTTTTAGCATGAGTAATGTGAGCAAGTTTAATATCCGTATATTAATTCTGGTTTCAGTTTCAGAGCTGATTTCTTTAATGTATAAACATTTCTTTATATTAGAGATGTGTTTCGGTGAGGGAAAAAGTGAGTTGGGAGAAATGAGAAATGGGATTTTAAAAATGAGAATATATATATATATGTAATATTAAAAGCACAAAGGAAAAGACGGAACACTGTAGATGTGTGATTAGACCCATACTGAAGAAGAATTTGATTGCGTAGTATGCTAGTAATGCTAACTTGGTAATATCTAAAGAACTTGGCAGTCGAAGCAGTTTTAATTCCATTTTTATTTCCAATTGATATTTGTGGCCACAATCACTTGGCACTCTAATCGTGCCTTTACACAGAAGATTTACATTTTTAATATTGTTGAGATAGAAAGCAAGCGAAATTACATCTTAGCACAGTAGAGAGCTAAAGCTGAAGTGCGTCGTTATGAAAGATGAAAGCACGCGAAGAGAAAAGTTTTGGTTTACAATTCGGTGATTGTTTGTCAAGAGGCATCTGGTATTAACGGTTACGTAAGATCGCATGATTAATTTGAATGACGCAATGCAGATAAGTTATTACGATTTTAGAATAGAGAGGAAGAATTAATGTTTATAGTTATATTATAATTCTGATTCATACATTTTTATCTTACATATTTCCCCCCTTCAAAAAGAAAAAGGCGTAGCGACAGAGAAGCCTTTTTAAAGCGAAAGAGTTAAAACACTAGCAAATGTAAAAAAAAATAAAAATAAATAAATCATAAAATTTTTGTCCTGTAAAGTATAATTTATAAATATCAATTTTTTTTAAATAAATTTTTAATTTTTAGAGTCCTATTGAATTTTTCAGCATTTCAGTCCAAAAGTCTTTTTGTTTGAGAATTCACATAATCATAATTCTTCAGGGAAGGTTCTTGTTATTACAGAATATCACAAAATAAACTTTTACATAATTATTACTTATAATTAAATGTAATGCACATAAATATTTATGATACTTATTTTTATACTGATAAATTATAATTTAACATGCTAAATAATAGGATTAAAATTTTCGGAATTTATGGTTTCACCGTTATCATCTTTCATTTACAATTCCTGATTTTACCAAACTGGAAGCCTCGCAATACTTCTAAACAAACATATCCATCAATAGGGCTGTCCTCTTGAGCTAACCAGCGTGTTCTCTGCACTGGTGGCCCAGGGTGCCTAGGCAGTTACTTGAAAAGGCCACCGTTCCTTGCATTAAGGTAACTGGCCTTTCAGAACTGCACTAATACATTCCATAATAAAAAATATATAATATAAAAAATTTACATGCATTCATAAAATGAGAGCCTCCAACATTATCTTGCATGAAGAGGGTAAAAGGAACAACTGTACAGAGGTAATTACAGGCCTCTGTTGAAGGAACCAGTACACCCTCATCATACTATACTTAACACACAATAACCCATAAATTTTAACATGCATTTACCATAATTTCATATTACTTATCTGTAATAATTTCACTCATTTTTTTACACCTACTTCATTTTTAGAATAATTATAAAATTTGTATTCAAAATTCTCAACAAATTTTCAAAAACATAAAAACTTATCTTAATATCCTTCCCTATGAATAATTTAAATAGCTTAAAATTCGTTACTTAATTGGCTCACACATAATTATGAAAAATTAGAAAAATTAATGAACAAGAATTTCAGATTTTCTCAAAACAAATTGCAGAAAATTTTAACCAAAGTTGAAATGAAAACTATAGAATTCGCAGCATATTAAATGATTTAGTTTTTGAGTTAGAGTCACACGAACGTAACAATTTTTGAGCTGTTGAAAAAGCAGAAGCGCAAATAATTTTCTGTCACACATACTTGCAAACACTTAACTCAGATCGACCTTGAACCCACTGTAATGCTGAATTCCTAAACGGTAATTCACTGATGATTTAAAGCACTTTTTTTCTAAATATTGTAGAGATCGGCGAAGCAAATTAAATATTCCTTTTCACTAGGCATTCGAACTTCTCAATTTATCGAGAGATGACTTTCAATCTGTAAACACTACATGAGATTATTTTTTTGAAGCACTTGCAAAACACCACAGCAGAAGAATGATCTGTTATTTTTTAAAAACTGAAAAAAACAAACTTTATGATTCACTTTCACATTATCTTGGATTTATCACAAAACGATGATTTAAAGAGCTGAATTAAATTTTCCATTGAGGTTTCAGGCTGCAGGAAACTATCCTGCCGGCTTAATTGACATAATAAAAGCAAAAGGAAAAGGAAAAGACAGAGCAGTGTAGATGCGTGATTAGACCCATACTGAAGAAGAATTTGATTGCGTAGTAGGCTAGTAATGCTAACTTGGTAATATCTAAAGAACTTGGCAGTCGAAGCAGTTTTAATTCCATTTTTATTTCCAATTGATATTTGTGGCCACAATCACTTGGCACTCTAATCGTGCCTTTACACAAAAGATTTACATTTTTAATATTGTTGAGATAGAAAGCAAGCGAAATTACATCTTAGCACAGTAGAGAGCTAAAGCTGAAGTGCGTCGTTATGAAAGATGGAAGCACGCGAAGAGAAAAGTTTTGATTTACAATTCGGTGATTGGTTGTCAAGAGGCATCTGGTATTAACGGTTACGTAAGATCGCATGATTAATTTGAATGGCGCAATGCAGATAAGTTATTACGATTTTAGAATAGAGAGGAAGAATTAATGTTTATAGTTATATTATAATTCTGATTCATACATTTTTATCTTACATATTTATAAATGAAGCAGATGATCTGCCTAAAGCTAAAAAATGGTTGCCATAATCACTGTATGCCATTGCCATCATTAAAATTATTTCAGACGATAACTGATTAAATATTGCTTAATTTTATGGATTAATATACTCAAGTGTGGGGGGAGAATAATACTAAAATATCATGAGAAAGGTGAAACACACATACATGCAAAACGAATACAGTCAAAAGTCTTTAATCCGGACTCGTCGGGACTTCGATGATTCCGGATTATCGGTTTTTCCGGATTATAGATCATCAGTTTAAATCTGGTAAAATAGCATGCAGAAATTATAAAATTAAAAATATGAAACCGTAATTTATGAAATAAAGAGCAATTGTGATCTAAATGGTATCAAAATTTACAAAAAAAAAGCTTAATATTTATTTGTTTACTTTATTAAACATTTCTTTCAAAGCGCATGCGTAAAGCATACATTACACATAGTCGAAATTAGAAAATTGAAACCAGAAAACTATTTAATGTGTATTTGTGATATTTATAATAACGAGGAATTTGATTTAAATCATATCAAAGATGGAGTACATCGAGATGAAATACTACATTTAGTAAGGAATTATAAGCCGAATAAAATAAAAACATCTGCCCTGAAGATAAGGATAGTGCTGACAGATCAACTTCCAGTTCATTGCATGCCGCAACATCCCCCCTACCCCCGCAGAGCAGCGTGAAATTGATAATCAGATTTCGGAAAGGTTATAGAAACAAAGTATATGCCTTTATCCATTTTTTGCAGCTATTCCACTTTTTGTTTGATGGACATCAAAACATGCTTTCACTTTGTAGATCCTTTGGCAGCTCCAGAATCAGAAATTCTTTTTGACATAATCGAAAGTTCAAGCTTACTTTTATAAAACTGCTATAACAGTCTGCAAAAAATAATATGCTGGATCCAATTAGAAGATTAAGGAACAACACAATCTGTAACATTAACTGAAATAGATAATTAGTTAATTTTAGCTTAGCTTATACCATCCATTATACATTAAACGTGCATGCGTAAATGTATTATGCGCATGCGCAGAAATTTTGTAGCTTTGAGGTCCGGATTATGGATGTCTGGATTAAAGACTTTTGACTGTATATTACAAATAAATAAATCCATTTGAAAATGACCTTTTTAAAAAATATTTATAACTAGAGTGATATGTAAGTTATCAAGTTACTGTGTTATTTAGTTATTTTTCTTTACTTCTGGTATTCAATTTATCTTATGTATCATGTCTATTGCAATGTGCTTCATTCTTTCATATTGTTTAATTGTCTGATACTTTCTGATGAGATAATTAACTGTAACACTCAATTTGTAATTTCTGCTTCTTTATCTGAGCAAAATAATTTTTGTGCTTTTGTATTTCTCTCTCTCTCTCTTTTTCATTTAACAGTGTTACCTTAAAATTATTATTTGGCTGTTGAGCTGTGTTGCAAAGCATATTAACACAAACTAATTTTTTATTCTTTAGTTGATTTTCAAAAATGGGAAATGCACAAAATTTGGGAGGAAACCTAGTGGTGATAGCAGTGGATGCAGCAGTATGTCTTCAAATACTACACCAAGAATGCATCTCTCATCTGATTCTGGAACTGAATCTGATTTCATTGCTTCCTCTCCTGATTCAATAATACCAGATCAAAATATGCATCATCTTCCTAAACCTCCTTTGCCAATTTTGATGGAAGTTCATGATCATTCAGTGCCTGAACAGCTTCATGATACTCTACCACAACCAGAATTGAATAAGGAAGCCGCAAAAAATGATGCTTTCAATAATGGTGTGGTTTTGAAAATTGACCAGCCTTACAGTAAATTTGGCATTTCAGGTAATGGTCCATCTACAGCACAATGGCGAGTGAATCCTTTAGTTTTTTACAGTTGCAACTTAGCAAACAGTGAACCATCTGTGTTCGAGGCACAAAATTCAGAAAGACAAACTTCTTCAGTTTTGGCACCATATTCAAAAATTGGCTTGGCTAAAAGCAGTGGTGATATACTAAGCATTTCATCTAGGAACAAAACAATGGGATATTCGAAATTTGGACTTTCACAACCTTGTAATTTTTCTGCTGCAGGAAAGCAAACACCTACTCTTGCTATGATGGTTATTGATGACCATGCATTTAAAGAGTTCCAACACTCTCAAAATACTCCAGCATCTAAAAGATTAAAGACTGATAACCTGGCAAATATTAAAGAATCTCCACACATATCTGCTACTCAACATGCTCATGAAACTGACGATGACTGCTGTTATATTAAAGTTGGTAGAGGAAGTATTATTCCCCAAAAGCCATCACCTGGTTATGTATCGTTTGGTGAAGTGAAAAGAATGCCAGAACAAAATTCATTTTCTTCACCTCCAGTGAATTCTGCTGGTTCTGAGTTAATACAAAGTACTTATCCTCAGAATAATGCAGTTGCCTTGTGTGATCCTGAAGTAGTGTGTAATAAATCTGCACATATGCCTAAGCATAAGGATGCAAATGTAGAAGTGTGTGATGGCAATTTATCTGAAGAACAATTATTTAACCATGCACAATTAAAAAAGAATAGTATAGATTCACATGTCATTACAATACCATCTACTCAATCTGACACTGATAATTCAAAAGTATCTCATGAGAAAGTACCTGTGAATGACTTAATTCCAGAAACAATTAATACATTTAATCCTTCTGTGAATAATCTCAGTCAAATGTATTGCAATGACAGTACACATTTTCTTTCAGATTCTCAAAATATTTCCTCTAGTTGCAATAACTCTGACCCTCCAGAGACTTCCATTTCCTCTGATGAGGAATCAAATAAAAATTGTATGCCTGAAATGAGGAGTGTTGTTCGACCAGAGGAAATATTATTGACCCCAGTAGTAATGAGAAATGGTTATGTGCCATTTTCTACACTTTCAGATTCTGCAATTGAACGAACTGTTTTAAGTGTGCCAAATGCTGCAGAATCAAATGCTTCTTTGCCTGTTTTTCCCAGTGGTGTTTGCTCTGAATCAGATCAGAACTACATTACACCATCGAATAAAAGTGAACTGAAGTTGTTACAAGAGGACTCCATTTCAAAACCAAACCCAAACTTGCCAACAATACATTGTAATGGGAAAAATTCCATAAACAGTCCCAAAACATCTCTTCAGAGTGGAGTTGGATTCATAAATGGGTCATTAAAATATATTTTAAAGCCATTACCGAAAATGGAATCTGAAATGTGTGAAGTGTAATGATATCTGTACATTGGTGCTTTTTTCTTTTCTAATTATGTAACAAATGTAATATAGTGTAAAAAGATGTTAATTTCAATTACAATGCTCCAGAATTCAATAGCTCTATAGCAGGGATTTTGAATTTATTTTATCTCATGCACTCCTTTCACTACTGCTAGAAGATCAATAATATCATCATAAATATATATATTTATCTAGATTTAGATGATTTTTGACAAGTTTTATAAATTAAACAGCAGAGTGTAGAAAATGTTGATAAGTATTAAAACTTGAATAAATGTATTTTTTTATCTTCGTGAACTAAAACTAAATACTTAACAGAAAAATAAGAGATTATCTGCATTCCTCTCCCTGAAACTATGAAATTCTCTCCTAGGGAACTATTCCTCCTCATTGAGAACCCCTGCTCTAGAGCATTTATAGTTGTTATGCTGAAGAGTTCAATATCTCTTGAGGTCTTAATTTCTACTTTTTAAAGGGGCAGATCCCAAGGTTTTTCATTTTTCTTTAAATATTGCAAATTTTATTTTAGCTTAAGGACAAAATTATTATAAATAATATTTTCTTATTTTCCAAAAAGTTAATTTTTACTTTTAACATATAGAAAATTATCTTAAAATAATAAATATTAAAATTTATATAACTGACTATTTTATATAATTAAACATTTGTTAGCTGTTTATATGTGCTCCAAAAACTTTGTAATTAATGTTCTAGTATCATAAAATTTACAAGACAATTTTATTAACAACAATTTATTTAGCAGCAACAACAACGCAAAACATTCTGGCCTAGAATTTTAAAATGATTTATTTCCGTCCCGCATCCTTATTTGAATATTTAGTGGATTTACCCCATTATATCTGTTTTTGCTTTCACTAACATTGTTTTACTAAAATATATGCACAAAATTTTATTAATTTCAAAACAGTAAAGTGTATTAATTTTGTTACAGAACTCCCCCCCCCCCCCCAAAAAAAAGAAATTATAAAGTAGTTTAAATCTGAAATTTTACATTTTTATTTAATTGTTCTGTGAAATTTATTTCAATGAACACAGTGTAATGTATTTGATTTCATAGGATTTAAAATATTTCTCATTGTATGTTCTTGTATTACAGAAACTCAATTTATTGTATTATTGTAAGTTATTGTAAATTAGCATTGCAATTTATTGTAAATTAGCATTGCAATTTATTATAAGTTAGCATTGCAAATGCAGTTTATATTCGCATTTTTCAGGTATGCCATTATATAACATTAAGAATAAAGATTACACTATTAACGAATGATAATGGAACTTTTTGATCCCAGCATGTATTCAGTGTTGAGAGTTTAAAATACTGCCATATATTGTCAGATATGAATTTTCAGTTAAAGAAATATATTAATTGTTATTAGAGAATGTAAATTATTTAGTCAAAATTATTGATATTTAATCAGAAGAGGTATTTTTATTGATCTGAAATGTTAAATGAAATGAGAGAATGGAAATGTTCCACAAATTTTTTTTTCTTGGTTCATTTCCATGAAAAATTTTCTTTTCTTAATATATATATATATTCCAGTTCACTTACTGAATACTCATATTTAAATATTTGGAATTAAAAATGTTGAGTAGTAATTACTAAATTCTAAAAAAATAAGTTCCAAAATAGGTTTTGTTTTTCCATTCAGTATGCTAAATATAAATACAATAAACACAATAAACTCATTGAGATGATCATCTGAAAATAGCCAATGTATCTAAAAACATTAAAAAAAAATCACAATCAAATATTAAATCTTATACTTAATGCTGGTTCATACATATATCAAGAACCTCTATTCTACATCTTTGTTCATTAAATAGTTATTGCACTAAAGCGTTTTTATTATCTTGTTGCTGTAAAAGTAATACAGTGCAAAGTCCCTAATCCGGACTTGTCGGAACTTCTGGGATTTCGGATGAGGGGTTTTTCCGGATTATAGATCATCAGTTTAAATCTGGTAAGATGGCATGCAGAAATTATACAATTAAAAATATGAAACCGTAATTTATGGAATTAAAGAGCAATTATGATCTAAAGGGTATCAAAATTTACAAAAAAAAAAAAAAAAAAAAAAAAAAAAAAACTTAATATTTATTTGTTTTATTGATTGCGGCATTAAAAATATTTCTTTTAATGTAAGTTGTTTAAATTGCTTCATTTTTTGTGCTCTAATACTTTCTTTTTAATTCTATAAACAGACATAATTTCTTGTTCAGTCACAAAGTTTCACTGTTCAAGTCCTGTAATTGCTGTGTCGAGAATACCGACTAACTTGTCAATCGAAATTTTTTCGTTTTCAATAACCTGTCTGTCACTTTCTATTGGAAGCGCGCATGGGTAAACACTTTACGTGCATGCATAGCGGACGCACACATTAAACATACATGCGTAAGTTTGTGGCTTTGAGGTCCGGATTACGAACTTTGTACTGTATGAGAAAGCCCTTTCATTGGACAATTTTACAGTGTATTGAGAAATCTGAATTTCCTTCCTTATATCTTAAAAGATTATGCCAAATTTTTGAATATGTATTTATTCATAATTCAGTTTAATTTTAACCAATTTAATTTCACTTGTCCTGCAAAAATCTTTTAATGCACCTGTGTATTTATATAAAAAAAGTATTTATTTTTCTGTTCTTTAACGGTTTAATAATAATACAAAATTTGTTTATATTAAAAATTCAAAGTCAGTTCTTGGATGCTGTTTATCCTGGATAGTATATAATTAATTTATTTTAGTTTTCTCTCCTCATTTGATTTTTGAATTTAATTATCTTTTCTTTGTAGATATAATTCATCGTATTTATATAAGCACTTATACATTAGGGTATATATCAGTATAGACTTAATAATTTATTTATTTAAAAGAATAAAATTTTATTTTCAGGGGAATTATTTTGATCTGCAGATCAACATGGGCTTAAATTATTAGATATAGAGATAAAAATTGAAGGTTTTGAAAGAAAAGAGAATTTATTACCGGAAAATTGTATTTGATAAATAATTTTCATTAAAAATATTTATAGCAATGTTTAGACTTCAGTTTATTAAATTACAAATTATATTATTGGTTGTAATCATTAGAAAGACCAGATTTAACAGGATGTGCATTGAAAAGTTAATTTGTTAATATATTAAAGTATATTAAGAGAAAGAAAAATGTCTACCTGAATCGCTAATATTTAGAAATAAAAATAAATTTCAAAAGACAAAAAAATCAATGTTTGGCATTGATTGTGGGAAAAAAAATCAATATTTTTATGACCTGCTTCCAGGAGTATAAAATATGGAGAGAATAATGTATTGATTTATAATGTAAGATAAAAATTTGCATTTTTATGAATTAGGAAACAAACTGTTCTAAGATTACTATTATTATTATTATTACTATTTGAGGGTTTTAAAGGAAAACGAAATGTCTCATTTGGTTAATTAAGTGAACTATTGCAAGAAATTATTATCATTTGGTTAATTAAGTGAACTATTGCAAGAAATTATTATCATTTCTTTAGAGTTTATATGTTGTTATTTATTATATTTAAAAATTCTAAGGGAAATAAAATGATATGTTTTCCCTATTTATTTTACTTTATGAAACCATAAAAAAGGCACCTTTTTAGTATTTTGCCTTAAATTACAAGTGATTTTTTAGATATCTTCTAAATTGCTATTTTATTAGATTAAGTTTCTGTAATTTTTGTCTGAAACAAAAGTGATATTTCCTATTTTTTAGCTTCCTTTTAGTTAACAAACCTTTGCCATATGTAACTTTATTCATTAGTTGTATAAGAACTTTAACATTTTGTGTTTTCATTAACATTTCACTTTTTAGCATTAAAAGACATTGGCTAGAATAATCTGTTAGTCTCGAAACGGGATTTGGCGGTGTATCATGATTTTAAATGTTTAAATCATTTTTCAAATTGTTGTCATGAAATATTATCACCTTATATTCCTTTAAAAAATTAATTATGGAGAATTTGCATGAATGTGTGTATGTTTTTCACACTGTGAAAAATTAAATGGTGCCTAGGGCGATCAAATTTTGAATAATGTAGTTCTCCACCCGAACATACTGAAAGCCCAAATTTTGAATTTTATATTTGATATTTTGTAAAACTTTAATGAATTTTTAGCAAACTCAATGATTTAAAAGCGAGAAGTGGCAACACTATATGGATTAAAACACTTTTATCTCCAGATGTAAGACTGTATATCAGAAATTCTAAAGATATGCTGTTTTTAAATATTTTGTGATTTTGTTATTCATCTGAATTTTATATGGTGTAAGTGCAAAGAACATGTTATTTAATTAATAAATTTACCACACAAAACATTAATAATGAAAAGACAAAAAATGTTTCACAAGCTATCTAACTAAGAAGGACTATACATTGATATGGTAAACTAAGAAAAGACTGGACAAAATAGAAAAGTGTATGCCAAAACTTAACACTTTATCAGGAATTCTAAATACATGCTGCTTTTAAAATTTTGTAATTTTGCTGTTAAACTGTATATTGTGTAAGTGTGAAGAAAATGATGCTCAGTAATAAAGTTAAAAAGACAAAAAGAAATGGGTTAGCTGGAATGAGTGCAGCAGCAGACTGATAGACTGCAAGCTCATTGAAAGCATAGGAAAACCTTAACAAAACCTTTTGGGTGGCTGTTAAATCAAAGTCCTTTGAGATTTTCTCCCCCCTTCAAATATTATTGCAAAAGTAGTATATTATAGACTGCCACCCTAAAAAATTCCTTTTACCTTTTGAACACCATAAGTGTTTGTGCTATATAAATTATAATATTACCACCCCCCACAGAGTTATCTGTTTTTGTTACTAACTATTAAATATATATATAAATAATCTCTATCTAAATATTATGTATTAATATTTTTATATTATATTTTAGCTTTCAGCAGTCATTTTTGTGCCAACAGAAAATTTATTTTTGTTTTGAAACAAAAATACACTGTAAATTTATTGCTAACCTAGTTCAGTTTTTATGTTAAAAATATTGATCAGAAAGAGTATTATGTCATATATCTGCAAGTCATAATTGTTCATAATTAAAGTAAAAATTGTTTAGTGTTGAAAAGAGTTTTATCTCATTAAGTTTAATGTTAATTTTTTTTTTTTCTGATAAAATAATATTATAATAGATTATCCATCTGGCTTTAAAACATTGATTTTAAAGGATTTTCTTTCTTTCTTTTTTTTTTTTTTTCCCATCAAGACAGGATTAGTTAAGAGTCTCTGAATTACTTTATCAATTATATATGATTTTAAATTTTCTTATTGAACAGAATTGCATGTATTCTTATGCTGTTGTTAGTTTTTTAAAGTTGTATGTTCAAAAGATGACAGACTACATCTTTAATTAAGTGTTATTTGAATTATGCTAAACGAGAAAGCAATTAATCCTAAACAGCGTTATTGATGCTTCTTTTATCAATTCCATCAATAATACCATATAATCTTAAATTTGATTGATTATTAATTGACCTGATACTGATCTGCTTATTAACAATTAAATTATAGTATGAAATGCACTAAATTTAAATAAAATGTTTATTCTTTTTATTATTCTACATTAATTCATTGTAATAAAAAGGATGGATTTAAAGAATATTAGCAACAAAAAAAGAGTATAATTTTATTATGTACTATAGCTAATAATGAAAAGTTGCTTAAGAAGGTGATCTTCTATAAAAGCAGAAAATAATTTGAAAAATTGTCTCTTCATATATAAGACCTATATTATAATGGAAATTTGATACCACAATTTTCAATAGAATTATTTTAACAATTTATTGTATTGCATAAACTGAAACTTTTACACACTTTGTATATTCTGTGGTACTTTGAATATTATTTGTTAAATTTCATAAATTATTTTAGAATATGAAAAAAAACTTTTATTTTTGTGCAATTAATA